TAGTTTCATTGTCTGCTACCACAGGAATCAAAGAAATGAAATGCAACAGTATGTCTAAGACAGCATGCATGAAGGAAGGCAGTCTCTTCAGTCTGCCTGCTTTGGAATTTGCTTGAGCACATGTCCAGTCAAAAAGACCAAATTCTGCCAGACCTGGTTACTCAAACCACAGTTTCATGTACAGAAATGAACGCCTGGCAGCAGACAAATCTCTTTATACTACCAGTCTTTGCAGAATACCCCTTGTCTCCTTCCAGCCTTTCTCATATCCCATTCTCCTCCTTGTGAACACAGAGAATGCTTATGCCCAGCTCCTGTAACCACTTCCATTAGTATTTCTAACATTTTAAAGGTTTTATTTAACTCTCTTTAAAGGAAAGCCATCAGCATAAATGAGTACCCAGATTCCTTAAAAGAGCACAGAATGACACAGTCACTTACAGCTCTGACTTACCTGTCTTTGCATGTCAGTGACGTTTTGCTCGTATTGGTTGAAGTCATGCCTCTTTCCATGAGACTTTGTCTTGTGCCACTCTAGGATGCAGCTTTCCAGCTGAGCGTTGGCTGCTTCCAAGGAGCGGACCTTGTCCAGATAGGCAGCCAAACGGTCATTCAGATTTTGCATAGTCTGTTTCTCATTCCCACCCAGGAAGATGCTTTCCCTGTGGTGCTCGCCGAAGCCTCCCCAAGGTGTCCCTCCTCCGGTAGCCAGCCAGAGGGGTCTGGCAGAGGAGAGAGAGGTGTGTGTGCTGCTGGCACCACCATCTGCACTTGAAGGTCTGTAAGAAGTTCCTTGCTGGGCCAAACCACACCCTGAACTACCCCTGAGGGACCCAGAAAAAAATTGAAAAGGGCCTTGGCTGGTACTCATGTTTAGCTCTGTTGTGAATCTAACCCAATGTTTGACTGACTAGCACTGAGCAGCTTCTTAGCCTTCCCTAAGCGGCTTTATGCCTTTTCCTGTGGGAGTTTCCCTTCGATGAATGACTACAGCAACAAGATTGTGTCATCATGAAACGTGCTTCCTCTTGGTCAATTCTGAAGCATTTATGAGCCTGCACACACTGTTGTTGTTATTTGGAATCACAGCCGCATACCAGATTGCTTTCCTTTTGGTTGTTTTGGGTTTTTTTCCTTTTTTCTTTTCATATTATAATAGTGAGGTGTGGCTAAAATCAGTAGGTGTGGAACAGGATCAGCTCTGCCTCAGAGTTTTTTCTAACCCTGTAGTTAATATGTTATGTTTTCCTGCTTAGGAGGGGAAGAGTTTCGTCCATTACAGAACAAATGGAGAGCTGGGGCAGGGATGGATCTCTCCAGATTCTTTCTGTTGTAATTCTCAGGCTTTGGAATTACAAGTCTGTGAATCCTGAAACGCAGCGTGTCGTATCAAGCTGTCATTAACGTAGCGAACAGCTTCAGCCTGTATGAGACATGAGGCTTTAATGAAGTTATCCAACCTGTGCCATTTGACTAAAACTCCGGTCCAAAGTAAGGCCCAGCTATTCCCTTCAGCTGCCTGTTTCTGGTTGAAATACATGCGAATTAGGTACTTAATCTTTTCTAGGGATTTTTTTCATGATTTGAGGTGCATTCATATTTCAATAGTCTTGTTGAAATAGGTAGTAATGAAGGAATTTCTTGCTGTTACTAGTATTAATACTATTAAGATATTTATATGTTTAGCTGTAGAAAAAATTTAGAATATGAGTTCGTAACATCACTTGAAAAATTCAAGTGATTATGTAAAGCTACCAGCCCTAAAATTGACGTGGCAATCATGCAGAAATAGTCTTTCTCAGAAGTTTCAGTAACCTTCTGTCAAACTTTTTCCATCAACTATAGAATGGGCAAGTCTGGCTTCTGCAAAGGTTTTCATATTCCTCATGCTGAAAAGCAGGTGGTAAATTGCGAAGCGTTCCCATGGCAGCAGCTGGGGTTATCGGGTTTGCCTTGTCGTGCAGTCGTCCAGACTGCGACTGTGGGACAGGCTAGATCTGGGGAGAGGTGGAAGGCTGAGTGGGCTCTGGGAAATGGTGCAGCTGCTTTTCTTTACAGCGGCTGAAGGCTCAACTCTTCAACAAGATCTTACGTAGCCCTGAATGGCGGGGTTGGAGAGACTGTACACACCAGAGTTACACTGTCCTGGAAGAAACCTGGAGGAATCTTTTTCTCTGTTTGTTTCATGTGAAGTTTTTCAGTACTAAAGAGTTGCTGCGTTGGTCCTTTCCTGGGGTGCCTCCTAGGCCTCAGTCTCTGACTAGGGCAGGATTTGAGCTCCTCCTCGTGGCTCTGTGTCAGCTCTGCTCAGCACCTCTTGATTCTCTTTTTACCTGTTACATTTCCAGTGAGTACATATTTCTTCTTACATGCATTTAATTTTCTAGAAATGCTAACATTTATAATTGTGTGGGGAAATTAATCATTGAAGATACAATTTTCCAATAAGTACAAGGTATAGCTATTGCAAAATATTCTGATAACAGCTGCTATTAATAGCCACAGTTCAATATCAGCCCTGCTACTTGACAGTGAAAAGAGCTTGAAGCACCACAGAAAAAATGAAAGCCTAACTTGAAAAAACCCCAAATTATAGTAGAACCAATGCTATCCGGCTGTTCAATTCATCGCACCAGAGATTAATTTCAGACTGCAGCTTCTAGCCTGGCAGTTCAGCAAGCTAATATTCTATGGAATATTACATTGGAATATAAATACATACATACAGACATAATATTATGTGAAATAAAATAAATCATTTGTTTCACTTTGTTTCAGTGAGATTCACAATGTGGCTGGCAGTGAGGCTGGCAGTTTGTGAGCCTGTCTTACTCCCTGATACTTTCATGGAATATCATGCCATCATGAAAAACAGATTTGTATTTTTTCTAGCAAGTAGTGCAAACCAAAGGTGATCTGGCACGTAGGACATGTTTCCTCTGAAGCTCAGCCTTTTCAAATTGAAAAAGATGCCACACAGTTTTCATCAACACATGTTGAGGATCCGTGCAAAAGACCAAAAAACTAACTGCAGAACCAGTCAGTGCTCTCCTTTGTCAGGCTGGCACTATGGGACTTGTGCTTAGTCGACTTTTTAATCCACAGAATACAGAATGATCAGAGTGAGCAACTGAACC